CACCTGGTCCAGACCTTCCGCCTGTCAGCAGCCTCGGCGGCTCCTTCCCTGTCGGGGCTCGGCGACGGGCCATGCTGGCGTCCAGGGCGCGCACCCCACGTCAGCCCGGCAAGCGTTCGCTGGACCGCAGGGCCCCACGACCCTGTCGTGGGCAGTTTGTGTCAGCGGCCCCTGGGCCTGGTGGGGGGCCCGGGCACGCGAGTCTCCCCCCACTCCCCCGGCTGCCTGGCTGGACCGGCGCCCGCGGGGCCCGTGTACTGCAGTGTGCTGTGGCCACCTGTCTGTGGGGCGTGGGGAAGCCCCTCGTGGGTCCTGGGGCCTCGGAGCAGTGGGTGGCCTGCCCTGGTGCGTCCCCTGAGTGTCCCCGAGTCTTGGCAGGTCCCTGGCTTTCCTCTGAATCATGGAGTTTCGTTTCTTAACGCTCCGTGGAGCCCAGCCCAGCCCTTTACTGAGGGGGCTTTCCCAGGGAGCGGTGCTGTCTCCATCACAGGACGGGGCAGCGGGGGACAGGTGCCCTCACCCCCGGGCCCTCCCCCGCATCCAGGCGGGACCTGAGCCTGGACCTCTACCGGAGAGGAAGTCCTGGGCCCTCCCCCGAGGGCCCTCTGGGCTGACTTCTCGTGGGTCCGGGTGGCCCCACACTGGAGCCCACCTCTAGCCTGGTCAGCCCCACCGTGGCCTCCCGTGTCCGCCCCACGTCCCTGCCTCAGGCCCGCAGCTGGCTGCCGGGGGTGCTGGGGCCCCGTGGGACACGGTCACCACCGAGCCTGTGTTGTTGAGGTCGACACGGGCCGAGGCCCGAGCGGTGGAGACAGGATCTGCCCGTGGAAGGTCTTGGCTCGGGCAGTTTCTGCCCCTGCCACCCCCCCCACCCGCCTGGTCCTTGTGCGGAAGTGACCGTCGGCACTGGAGACAGGTCACGCTGGTGGCCAAAGCTCCACTGGACCCTAGAGCAGTCGTGCGGCTCAGTTTGAACCAGACCTGGTGCCTGAGACGGCCGGGTTCCTGGCCTGTGCCGCAGGCAGCTGCTCGCCTGGACCGGGACCGGGTGTCTTGCTTTTGGGGGAGCCCCCCTTCAAGAACGAAGGGCTCATCACTGACTCCGGCAGATTGCCTGATGTGGACAGGGGTTGCCCAATGTAACAGCGGTGTCCCTGGCTCGGGGTCCTCTGAGTCGCCCTCACAGTTTTTCCGTGGCTGGAAAGGGCTTCCCCGAAATGCTGGAAGGACCAGGAAAGACTCGGTGCGGCTCGGCGGCACTGCCTTTGCTTCCTGTTCAGACTCTTTCCCCGTGCGGGCGGGGGCACGGGTGCGCGTTAGTGTTGCCGGTCACTCGAATCTCAGATTTCAGGCTCCTGGAAATGGCTTTTCTGCCTTGTTGAGCCTTTGAGCTTTCTAAGAAAATTTAAATTTTTTTCTAAGGTTGATATGTGAAAAGGACCACACGAATGTGTCACGTCACCCTTCTGGGAGCCGGGAGTCGAAATCAGGGTGGGGGGTCACGGGCCACCTCCCTCCCGCTGCCCCCGTCGCCCATGGTGCCCCCCCTTCTCTGCAGATGCTCGTCCCGCTTGGTTGCAACCTCATCTTCCTTTGGTTACATCAGCAGAGACCCTGTTTCCAAATAAGGTCACGTCCACAACAGGTATTGGGGCCGAGGCTTCAACGTGTCTTTTCTGGGGACGTGATTCAGCACACGGCAGCCAGTGACTCTGCGTCCCTCCCCTGCCATTGGCGTGGGCTGTGACCGGCCAGGACACCCCTCTCGTGGTGTCATGCCTCCAAACTGTCACATCCCCTGGTGGCTCAGAGCTGGGATATCGCCGGTCAGCGGCCGGGGGGTGGGAGGCACACGGCCTCACCAGCCACGGTCAAGGCCACATTCCAGGATCAGGAATTTGCTGCCTCTTCCCCCTTCTACCAGCATGTAATGTGGGGTGTTTAAAAAATAGCTCTTGAGTTTAAAATGTAGGATTTCAGTATCACAGTTTTAATGGAAAAAGGGGGGAAAAGGCCCTATAGTTTTGGTGACCCTGAGAGTGAGCCCTGAGCCTTTCAGCGGGAGAGGTGGGCCTGGCCCGTTCCCGGGCGCGGGGGAGGGGCGCCGGAGGCTTCCTGGGGGAGGCGGTGCCCCCGGGCTCCCCGGGGAACTTGGCCTTTGCGGATCTGCCCCGGGGGGTGAGAGCATCTGCGCCGCCAGCCTCCTGCGTCACCGGACGAGCCAACGGGAGGGTCACGCCCGTGATGACCGCGAGTGGCTCGGAGATGAGAGGTCTAAACCGGACCCCGTGTGCAGGGGGCGCCCCGGCACCAGGCGTAGTGGCGGCTTCTTCCCCTTTCTCGCTCTCAGCCCCGAAAACAAAGAAATTCCCCCAGACGACTTCCCGCGGGCGGAAGCAGCAAAACGGGAAGTTCTCGGGGCCGCACACCGGCCTCCCGGCCCTGCCGGGTCCTGTGCTGCCCGGGGCCCCAGCCGCTCTGCTGTGCCCTCGGCCTGAGCGGGGACGCCTGGGGTGCCGCCGGCGGCTGCTGGGGGGTCTCTGTGTCCCCTCGAAGCACTGGATTCTGGGCTCCCAGTCTCGGTGGCTGGGGCCCCAGCCGCCGGGAGGCCCGGCAGGTCCTCGACCCGCCCAGCACAAGCCGGTCGCAGGGTCTCTCGCTGGCCCTGCCCCGTCTCACCGTCAGCGGCCCCCCCCCCCCCCGTGTCTCCGCACCCCCCAGACACAGGCTCGTTCTGTGGCCGACGGGTTTTGCCCGGTGGCTCTCCTGGTCCAGGGACGCTGGGCTGGAGCGGAGAGGGTGGCGCCTCACAGGGGTCCGGGCCATTCGTGTGGCTTCTTTGGGATGTGTCTGCTCAAAACGTGGCCCACTTTCAAAAAAGAAACGTCACCTACATAACTGCAAGGCTGGTTTCCAGAGTGGGGGAGGGGCACCCGCCCCGACGCCTCTTCCTGGGGAGGCTGCGCTGTCCCTCGGCCCCCGGGGTCGGGCGCTCCATTGGCAGCGCTGAGTGTCTGCGGCCCCCACCTCAAAACACGTGGCCTCCGGGTTACGTCTGAAGGAGGGTTTCGGATGAGTCAGGCCTGCCCGACATGCAGACCCGGGGGTCGGAAGGTGAGGTGCAGTCTGGTGGGAGAGGGACGTTGTCACCTTGTGGGTCGTTCCTCATTCCTGTTCTTAAAAATTTATGGATTGATTCTTGGAGAGAGAGAGGAGAGAAACATCGGTTTGTCGTTCCACTTGTTGGTGACTCATCGGTTGCTTCCAGTATGTTCTCTGATCGGGAATCGAACCTGCAGCCCTGAGTACTGGGACGGTGCTCTAACAGAGCCGCCCCTGCCAGCGCCGGGCGCCTAACCTTTCTCCTGTGGCGTCTGCGGCCCTCACAGACCCAGGGCCTCTCTCCAAGGGGCCACACTGACCCTCTGAACATGTGAAGGGGCCTCCGCTCCCTGCGGCGGATGATGGTGCGGCTGTCTGTCCCCGGGTGTGAGCCCACAGGTGTCCTGTGAACGAGTGTGCGCCCTCTGAGTGGGTGTGTCTGTAGGTGTGTGTTCCCTGCACAGGCGTGTGCACACCCAGGTGCCTCGGACACTCAGTGCGCCCACCAGGCGGGGCAGGGGCTGCGCTCCCTTGGCCTCACTCGAGCACTCGCTCGCGGGCGGGTTGTGACCGGACGGCTCTGCTGCCCAGGGTGCTTCCACCTTTGGGGTCACACTGCTGAGCAGCAGCGGGGCAGCCGCTGTCCCGCGGTGACCCGGCGACTCCACCAGCGTCTCCCAGACATGGAGCGATCTCCGCAGAAACACGGGCTCGGCTGCCACCCTTCCCCGCAGACGCGGCCACTGGGGTTGCCATCATTTTAAATTCCTTTGTGGCATCCAAGCAGCCCTCCCCTGCTGACCGTGGCGTGGTCTTCTTGCGTCAGAACCTCTGTCGGGCACAGGCTGGCTTTGACGCGCCCGCAGGGCGGTGACCCGCTTCAGGTCCCGCTGCGCAAGTGGAAGTGACTTTGAAGTGCAAGCCCCGTGAGGTGGTTTTGAAAAGGCGGCACCGAGCTTTCTCTCCTTCTGGGCGAGCTTCCTGGTTCTTGAAGGATGTACTTCACCGGGAGCAGAGACTTACTCACAGAGGAAATCGGGCCACGGAACCCACGCTTCCTCCTCTGCGTACAGAGCTCGAGGCCTTGGCTTTCTGGTCACGTGGTCAGAAACCACTTGGACGTAACTAGTCAAGGGGAGGCCACGCGGGATGGAATAGGTGGCCCCTGGTCCTGCACGACCCGTGAAGGGGACGTTGGGACAGGCAGGGGTGAGGGTGTGTCTACAAGCCAAAGAACCTCGAGGCTGCTCGGCCACCAGCAGGAGCTGGAGAGGCTGGGACGTGTCTTCCCTCCGCGGTTCTGTTGTTTAAGTTGTCTGCGCACCTCACGCCTGGGAAACGGACCCGGGGGCGGGGGGGAAGCGAGAGGACCAGGCACACGGGTTGGGAGACGCGGGCCAGGAACCTCGGGAGGGAGGGCCACCAGGCCGGAGAGAGCCTCGGCGACCCCACCGCTTCGCCAGGGCGGCCGGGGGGCGCCAGTCTGTTCCCGCCGGCACTCGTGCTGGGCTGCCTTCGGGAGGTGTGGACGGCGGCAGTGGTGGCTTGCACCCTGTTGCTCACGGGCTTTCTGTGGCAAATCCTTTTCCGTTTGCTTGCTGTTAAGGACGTCCCTTCGAGGGTGAGGGATGAGGGCACAGGTTCGTTACCCTGGGTCTTCCGTTCGGGTGAGCACTTTGCTTCCACTGCTGACGGGCATCTCCCCTGTTTCCGGAACGTTTGCTTTTTGTTTGGCGAGTTCGTGGTGTGTGTGGGGTTCCGTCCAGAAATCCAGGTCCGAGCCTCGAGTCGGAGCCTCCTTCCCCTCGCGATCGCAATCACGCCGGGCCCCGGGGGCGTGGCCACTGGGCGTGCGGTGTCGGCCGCGCGTGGGTGACTGTCCCCTCTTGTCCCTGCAGAGCCTGTAGAGACGCAGCTCCCGGCTTCCCGATGAACAACCGGAAGGAAGACATGGAAATCGCGTCCCACTACCGGCACCTGCTGCGCGAGCTGGACCAGCAGCGGCAGCACGGCGTGCTCTGTGACGTGTGCGTGGTGGTCGAGGGCAAGGTCTTCAAGGCCCACAAGAACGTGCTGCTGGGCAGCAGCCGGTACTTCAAGACGCTGTACTGCCAGGTGCAGAAGACCTCCGAGCCGGCCACGGTCACGCACCTGGACATCGTCACGGCCCAGGGCTTCAAGGCCATCATCGACTTCATGTACTCCGCCCACCTGGCGCTCACCAGCCGGAACGTCATCGAGGTGATGTCCGCGGCCAGCTTCCTGCAGATGACGGACATCGTGCGGGCGTGTCACGACTTCATCAAGGCCGCCCTGGACATCAGCATCAAGCCAGACACCTCGGACGAGCTCTCGGAGTTCGAGACGGGCGCCCCGCCCAGTAGCAGCGCGGACGCGCTCATCTCCGCCGTCATGGCCGGACGGAGCATCTCCCCGTGGCTGGCGCGGCGCGCGAGCCCCACCAATTCCTCTGGGGACTCGGCCATCGCCAGCTGCCACGAGGGAGGCAGCAGCTACGGCAAGGAGGACCAGGAGCCCAAGGCCGACGGCTCCGACGACCTGGCCGCGCAGGCGCTGTGGCCGGGCGACCTGGACTACGGGCCGCTGCGCATCAAGGAGGAGCAGGTCTCACCGCCTCATTACGGGGGCAGCGAGCCACCCTCCGCCCGGGACGGGGCGCCCCAGAACTCTTTCCCCGAGCAGGCCGGAGCGGACGGCTGGCAGCCCACCGGCCGGAGGAAGAACCGGAAAAACAAGGAGACCGTCCGGCACATCACGCAGCAGGTGGAGGATGAGAGCCGGGCCGGCTCCCCGGTGCCGTCCTTCCTGCCGACGTCCGGGTGGCCGTTCAGCATCCGAGACTCAAGTAAGCCTTTTCCTTGTTCCGGGTGGGGCTGGGCCGTTGAGCGGGGGGGCCCCCGTTGCAGTGTGCGGTGTAGACAAAGTGACACGTTCCTGGGCTCACATCTGCAGCTTTCCCTGGTGTTTGTTTCTCGTGGCCACTGGGCTCACCACACAGTGCCGGGCTCTGGGCTTCCCTGTGTCTCTGGTTCTCACCCTCTGTTTGATACTTTGTATCATCTCATACTTTGTATCCATCTGTCAGCCGAGTGAACAGAGAGGCCAATGTTCACTCACTGTCGGTGGCTCTTTATGGAGGTGAGGACGGTCACACCGAGCCTTTCTCTGGGGCAGACGGGTGAATAAGCACCCTGGGGCCTCTGGGGCTGTGGGCAGGGCTCAGAGACCACCCAGCATTGGTCCGGGTCAGGACAGAGGCCTCAGGAAGTGGTCCGAGTGGAGAGTCCTGTCCAGAGAGAAGGTAGGAAGTCAGCCAAGTGAGTGGACAGAAGTGGACGGAAGGCAGTAAACTATGGGGCAATGAATGAAATGAAAAATATCCCAAGTACAAAGCACCCCGTGTGCTAGGGGGGCGCCTACTGCCCTGCCCGGAAGGCTCCCGGGGACCCCCGTTCCCATTCTCCTCGCTAGGAAGGGTGCACCTGGCCCCCTGTGTGTAGCTTTTGTTTCTGTAATAAAATACACGCACCGTCAACAAGAGCACCGTTGGTTAATTACACTCACATTGTCCTGTGGCTTCTCTTCCAGTTTCTCTTTACCCTCTGACTGCAACTCTGTATCCACTGAACAGCAGGGCCCCGGAGACACTGTAGCCAGGACGTTCATTGTTACTGTGTCTCTGCTACTGGGTGGTGTTCCGGGTTAGTGGGTGGCCGGGGTCTCTCAGCCAGGGCGGGGTGACTGCCTGGGGGGTCCTGAGATATCCTCAGCACCCACTGGCTGCCAGTAACCACTCATCCCCAGTGGTGACACCCAGATACGACCGCAGACCTGGCAGCTGTCCCTGACAGGCGGCCCCCCAGAGCTGCTGGAGTTGGACTGAACTGGCTCAGAGGAAGCCTGGATGTCTGAGCTGATGGAAAAGCCCCCTGTTCCCCTGTCAGTTGGGAGAGGGACCGCGGTGTCCCTGTCTGCTCCTAACTGGTTAGAGTCGTCCACCAGTGCTGACGAAAGTCTGACCCGCAGCACTCCATGGAGAGACCAGGACAGAGGCTCTGGGCCGAAGTGGCCAGGCGGTCAGTGCAGAGCACCCACGCCTCTGCCCTGGTGGCCCATCACCTGTGGGCAGTGACACTGGGGGCCTTGAGACAGGAGCGTCCACCGACATGCTGAGAGGCAGTAGCCTCCTTAAGCTGTGGGTCTGCGGTTTTAAATGCCCTCATTGAGCAGAAGGTGTTTTTAGAATCCAACAAGTGACTTCTGCCACCTACTCTGAAATCCCTTGGTTTCCAAGGCAACTGTGAGCCGCTCCCGCTTGATGGCTCCGAGTTGCTAAGACAAGGGCGTGCCACTGTGAGCTTGCGTGGGGTGGTCTGCCTGCTCCCCCAGCCCGCCCGCCCCTCCGCCCCAGGGTTTGGGGGCGTGGGGTAGGTTCCCCAGTGCAGGTCACTCTGTTTTTGTTGAGGATTCATTGCGTCTCAGAGAACAGGACGTTCTGGTCCCAGCTTATGGGCAGGGAGGCCCTTTCCCAAGACAGACGTGTCACGGGGTCACGGCGCATGGTTTGGGTGCTGGACGGGCAGCTGGCGTCCGGTCCTGCAGGGCGCCTGCTCACTCTGACCCCTGTGTGTCCCGCCTCCGCCATGGTGACCCTGCAGCCCGTCAGCGTTTGGGGTGCTTTCTTTCGAGCTAAACGTGAGTGCATCGTCACCTGACAGCTTCTCGGGAAACCTCCACGGGAACCACGTCCAGTCCCAGCCTCTCGCTTGTGTGACAGGTCGGGGGAGACGGTGTTGGGACATGGGGGGGCGTGTGCCCACAGTGGTGGCCCCGGGCGGGCAGACCTCGCACCCGGCCTGCAAGGTCTGGCCACACCCCACCTGTGACTCACGTGCCGTGCGGTGGCTGCAGGGAGGCAGGCAGAGCGGTGCAGCCTGCAGCCCACGCCCTGCGGGGCCTGGTGTGTGTTCAGCTGCCTGAACACACCAGTGTTTGTGGATTGGCCTCTCGTCCTTGGACGTGGAGCCCCGGCCAGGGTGGCGGTCATGAGGGAAGCTCCCGTGGACGCTGTCGGCCGGTCTGTTTGGGTTTTCCTTTCTCCGCGTGAACTCCGGGGAGCGGAGCGTCCCGGTCGGACTCTCCCCGAGTGGCCACGCCGCCCCCCATCCGCGGTGGCCAGCACTCGACTCGCTGCCCCCCGTCTGTCTTCTCAAGTGAAGCCACCAGTGGGGGAGTTGGGGGTGCGTCTCACCCCTGTGGTCAGAAGAGAGACCATTTCCACCCCCAGGGACGGTCCCCCCGGCCCTTCAGCCAGCCCCACGCCCACCCCACTGCGACCCCCGCTGCCCCTCCGGGATCATCGCCAGAGCGGCCAGCTTGCCAACTACAAGCAAAAGAGCATTTTGAGACAATTATTGATTAATAATCAGTTGTATGCCTTTTAAAAATTTTCTTATTTATTGAATTTAGACAGAGAGAGGAAGGGAGACAGAGAGAGACACGGATGTTCTGTGACTCGCCGAGGAATTCATCGGTTGGTTCTTGTACCTGCCCTGACCGGCAACTGAGCCTGAGACTTCGGTGTACTGGGGCGATTCTCTCACCCACTGAGCTGTCATCTGGCCGGGGCTACAGTAATAATCAGCTGTAAGAGATAACACAGAGCGGCCCCGGCTGCTGTGGCTCAGTGGACTGTGCGCAGGCCTGCAAACCGAAGGGTCACCGGTTCGATTCCCAGTTGGGGCGCATGCCTCGGCTGTGGACCAGGTGCCCAGTAGGGGGTGCACAAGAGGCAGCCACACAAGGATGATTCTCTCCCTCTCTTTTTCCCTCCCTTCCCCTCTCTCTAAAAATAAATAAATAAATAAAGTCTTAGAACAGAACAGTGGGACATTATGTAACCGTTCGGAGGAAGGAGATTCTGAAACCTGTGTATGGATGAGGCTCGAGGACGTGATCCTCAGTGACACAAAAGGACAAGGACTGCGTGACTCAGCTCAGAGGAGGCCCCTGAAGGAGCTGAAGTCACAGAGGCAGAGAGCGGAGTGCCGGGCACCGGGGCCGGGGAGGCGCTGGGGCTGAGGGCGTGTGAGACAGAGCGTCAGCTTCCTCCGGCCAGACAGCCCTGGACGGGACGGTGGCCGACAGAGTGAGTGGATAGTCCCAGTGGTAAAGTTTATAAACTTTATTTTAAAAATTGACCGAAAACGACCACTATCCAGGCACTCGGGGTTCCCAGGGACCGGCCTGCCCTGGCAGAGCATTCTGGGAGACAGACGCGGGGACGGTGCCCAGTGTCCAGGGCCAGAATCGGGCGGGAGGGCCGATCTGCTCTCGGTCCGCGAGGGTTCCCTCCGGTTTCGGCTGCCTCACAGCAGTGGCCCTGGTGACAGCCCCCGGGGCAGTTTTCACAGAACGTCGAGCTCTGCACGCAAATCAGTTGCGATATGGATACTGCCTGCAACTTCCTGTTCTGCCTGCAGAACTTCATTTTTGACACCACTGCCTTAAATTCCTCTTTCTAAACACAGGCTGTGACCCAGGGGGACCCGGGACGGCGAGACGCCTCTGGATTTACTGCCTGGGCGCCTGGGTCACTGGGCTGCCTGCGCTGCCCCGGACCCAGCCCACTGCCCCCCCGGGTCCCGCCTCTCCTGCGCCCCCTCTGGTGGGCAGGCCTCAGCCACTCCTCCTCTGGACACTTGCGTTCTGCGTTCTCCTTGGAAGGATAGTACGTTCTGGAAGGGCCAGCTCTGCCCCTACGTCCGAAAGTAACCGCAGCAAGTGGCCCGGTGGTGGGTGGCGCCCCGCAGGGTGGTGACTGCGCCTCCCCAATTTTAAGGGGCATCTGGGGCCATGAGACACCTTTGTCTGTCCCTCTGTGAATCCCCGGCCTTCAGAGAGGACCCGTCACTCTGACGTTGTATCTGAATCGCGTCATCCTCACATTAGGAGATGGTGATAAGTGTCCCTTCCAGGCCCTCAGGACACGCCTGTGACCGGGGCGCCCGGCAGGAGGACACCTGGGCTGCGGAAACCCAGCCTTGGTGGGTTTGTTTCATGGCAGGGACAGCAGACGCTGGGACATCCCCACGAGCTTCCTGACAACACTCCGGGCCATAGGGCCCTGCTCTGCGTCCCACTCACGTTTGCCGAATTCGGCGGTGGGTGTGCCCAGGGTGGTTGGACGGTGTCACAAGGTGGCAGTAGAGCAGGTTCCCCAGAGCCGGTGATGCTCGCCTGGGGGTCGGGCCCTGCCCGAGGCCTTGGCCGGGACTTCCCCACATCCTGGGCTGTGTCTTTGACCTTGGGGACAGGGTGGGATGGACCTTCCAGGGAGCCGGTGGTGGGGAAGCTCTCCACCCTCACGCACTCCTTTCCCGCTCAGAGTCTTGAGATGACCCACCTGTCTGTTTCCTCCTCCAGACTCGGACTTGACCGTCACCGAGGCCGGCAGCTCCGACAGCCGAGGGGAGAGGGCCGACCTGTACGGCCCTGGGGACGAGGGCCTCCTGGGGGCCGAGGCCGGCTACCTGGGCCCGCCCCTCACCCCGGAGAAGGAGCAGACTCTGCAGCAGGCCACCGCCGTGGCCAACCTGCGGGCGGCGCTCATGAGCAAGAACAGCCTGCTGTCGCTCAAGGCGGACATGCTGGGGGACGACAGCTCCCTGCTGCTGGAGTACCTGCCCAAAGGCGCCCACTCCCTGTCCCGTAAGTGCTGGCCCCCGGCCGCGCCGCCCTGACTCTGAGTGTGAGGAGCGGAGGGTGGCAGGCGGCGGGTGCGTGGTTCCGGCAGTCGCTGTGGGTGGCGGCGGGCGCCCCAGGCCCCCGAGGCCTGTCGGGGAGGTCGTGCGGTCATCAGGGCGAGGGGTGGGGGGCAGTGTGTGCTGGTCCATATGTTTCCTACTGAAATGGACCCTGTTGGCGCTCAGCGGCGCCGGGGGTCGGTGCCCGGCCAGGGCGGGGCACCTGTGCGAGTCAGGACAGACAGCGGGCCGAGGGGACAGGCTCCAGGCTCCCTCTGCTGGCACCTGCCCCCACCTCGGCCCCGCCTCTGCGCTGAGACTCCTTCCTCCTGGGAGGGCTGGGGGGCGCGTCCCCTGGCTTTGTAGTGCGGCTGCTCAGGGACCGTGGTGAGGGGGTGGGTGTGGAGTCTGCGGTGCCTCCCACGCTGGCATCACCGAATTCCAGCGGCTCCGAGCGGCCGACCGGGCGGGGCTCGGGGCGCCCTCTGGACACACACAGCGGCAGCTTGTCTGCCCCCCCGCCACAAGCCCGCTGCACGCTGGCCCACGAGCGAGCCGCTGTCCACGTCACGGGTGCTCTGAGGAGCCATCGTGGGGGCACTGGTGGCAAAGAGCGGTCCCCAGAGGGAAGAGACACCTCGTGTCTGGTTGGTGGTCAGCACCATGGGAGCCAGCAGGGGCCCCCTTGCTCTTCTCCAGGGGGGCAGGACGCACCGGAGCGGGAGGTGGAAATGTGTGGAGAGGGTGCGAGGCACCCCGCCCGGTGGCCCCTGGGCCCGAGTGACAGGGGTGTGATGGGGGGCCTCTGCCCCACGGGATGAAGGGAGAGCCGCCGGCGTCCTGGGTGTTGGGGACTTGGGGCGTGTGTCTCTGTTTTCACCTTTACTTTAAAAACCAATGTTTTTGTAACTTTGTTTTCATGGTCTCTAAAATTTTTATGGTGTGTTGGAGTGACAGACACTGCTGTGGCTAATAAAAGCTGAAGCTGATGTGCGCATTCCCTTTATTTTGCTGAATTGAGCGCCTGCCAGGCCGGACCCGGGGGCTTGGCTGCGGGTCAGGCCGGGGGCTGCTGGGCATTGGCTCGGGTGCACTTTCAAAAACACATCCAGGCCTTGTTTTCTGCATCTGAAAAATGGGGGCAGCGTGTCTTGCCCAGTTACTGCGAATTTAAAACAGAACCGTGTTTGTGAAACGTTGAACCCCTAAGCCCAGGGCTGGAAGCAGCACCAGCCCCCTCAGATTTGTGGGGATCCCGGGACAGTTAAAGGAGATGGCCCCAGGGCATGTGGGTGCCTGGAATTGACAACCCGCAGGTCCAGCAGCTGGACATGCAGCCGAGGGGACAATTGCACAAGTTTTGTGGGTGACGGAGGTTCAGGTTGAGACGCCACCAGGCTGTGGCGCGGGCGGGGCCTCCCCAGCTCCCCCTGCTGTCCGCACTCCTCAGTGCACCCACATCCTGTCTCCTCCCAGCTGCTCCAGAGGGGCCGGGTCGCTCTTGGGATGGAGACAGCAGTCTGTGCTGCCCCCACGTGGCTGGTCTGTCTTTGCCACCAAGAATGACGAATAGGGGTGATTTGTGGCCTTTTCTACCTTCTCCGTGTCTGGCAGCCTTCGCCCCCAGCGTGGGCTTTGCCGCGTCCCCACTGGGGATGGGGCCAAGGGGTCCATGAGCCCCCAAACGCGGGTTTCACCCCCTTCGGCCCAGCAGGCCGACCACGTGCCTGTCTACGGCTCTGGGACGAGCAGCAGTGTCTGGCAGCTGCTGCAGCCGACCTGGTGCAGGTTGCTGCGTAGGGAGGGGACCGGGGACCGGGGACCGTCACCGGATAGGGTGCAGCCCGCTTCTGGAGATGGGGTCAGCCCGACACCGGGACCTGTGTCTCAGACCCTTTCTCGAGGCCGGTGGCGCAGGCTCTGTGTCCTCGTGACTTGTTTCGACTTTCTGGGCGACAGACACCGCCCCCCCACGGGCGGTGTGAAGAGACCGCGGCCCCCACCGCCACTGGGGGACGTTGAGAAAAGCGCCCGGCGCCCACCTCCAGTGGGACCCGGGCTTCCTCACACTCGGAGCCCCGCTCACCTCGGGGAGGTGGAGGACAGCACTTCCGGAACTCTCTGAGCCCCACCAGCCTCTGCTTGTCCCCCTGGCGGAGACTCGTCTCCTGTGTTCCCAGGACCTGGCACCAACCTGCGTCACCTGGGGGACGAGGTGGCAGAGTGGCTGCTCCGCCCTCAGCTCTGCTGGACGCCCACGTGAGACTGGGGACCCACCGGCCGGTGTCCACACACACTTGCCTGGGTGTGGGCTGAGCCCCCCACACTCAGGAGGACGCCGTTAGCAGCCCTTGCACTGACGATGGTCTCGCACTCACGGCCGCATGAAGTCGGGCTGCTGGTTGTCCTTAAACGCAAACACTTCTCAGGGGGAATTTCTCCCCGAGAGAAGGGCGGCCCTCACTGCTCAGGAAGCTGCCGGGTCAGGACTCCGGGCCCGGTGCCCAGTGGCCGGCAGAGCTGGGTCCTCCCTGACCTGCTGCGACTCAGGACCTCGGACGGGCCCTTCCTGTGTCTTATACAGAGAAGGTTCTGGCAGGTCCTGCCTGTCTCCCTGAGGAAAAACACATCTTTGGGAACAGCTGACCACGAACTCTGGACTCTGGAATTAACTTCTGCGGCCCCCTAACAGGACAGCGTGGGGGACAGGCCTGTGTTCCACCCAAGTGGGCTCCCCTCGAACACGTCTGGTCACTGGCGATTAACTGTAGCCCTCCTTCCCAGACCGGTGACAGGTCCTCCTGGTGGTGGCCGGACACGAATCCGGTGAGTACGGGCACAGCAAGGGCACCACCGTTTCTCGATTCTGTCCTGTCCTGACAGCTGGTGACTGGCTTGTCCCTGCTGCGGGCTTGTCCTCGGGCTGAGCCTCCAGGCCTCCTCCGGACCGGCTGCAGCCGGCGTTGGGCGCGCCCAGAGCCCTTTGCCCCGAGGCTGTATTTGAAGTCTGCACAGGGCCTCCGTGTGGGAGCAGATGCCCGCTGCAGCCTGGCCTGGGGCGCAGGTCCCGGCGGCCACCAGGCTGGGTGGACTGGGACAAGGCGTCCTCTTGTGTCTTTAAAGTGGTCACCTCAAATCCTCCACAGGTGGCCGGGTGAAGACGTTTTGGCGCCCACCCCTGTGCAGGTGCCCTGCAGGCGCCTGGGCCATGAAAGGTTTGTGCCGACTCGTGGGGCAGAGCAGGCGCAGTGGGGCAGGGAGCAGAGCCAGATGGCTCTGAACCCCTTACCTTCTAGAAAGATCCGAGGGCAAAGCCCGGTGCCATGCGTCCGATGCAAGTCCCGAAACATCTCTCTCCACGTGTGAAGGACAAGACGCTGACGAGCGTCGCCCAGTCGGTTTGCTCTCGTCCCCTCCCTGGATGCTGGGTTTCTCAGCTGCTTGCCATGCAAGGCAGGTGGGCCGCACAGTGGGCTCCAGACCCTGGTGGGAGGGAGGAAGGACGCACCCGACTGGTGCCAGGTTCTGGAGCGTGTTCCACTGGGGGAGGCTGGGCTTCTGGGCCAGGCCTGCCTCCCCCCCAGTCTGAGAGGCCGCCCCCACCCCGTAGGCCCCATAGCCCCCCCGTAGGTCCCGCGCCTCACCTGCCGGGTGCCGCCACTTTGCCATCATCAGACAAGTTCTGATGACAGAGGGAAGTTGGGTTTTCGGAAAGGCTCAGGATGCTGTTGCCAAGGCAACCGGCTCTAGAGTCTCCCGGAGCTAAAAGATGGGTCAGTGGGTGCCCCTCACCCTTCGGAAAGGCCCTGGTTCTGCAGTTGGTCTCTGAATGTCATTTCTAGAGACTCCCTTTTCCTTTTTTGTTGTCACGTGGGTCTTGGCCCTCTGTGAGGTTCGTGTGGCGGGAGGAGCCTCGGTGGAGGGACTGCTGACTCCGGGGTGGCCCTGCCCATCACTCCGTGTCGACCGCGGGCCCACGGCCACTGTTACCCGCTGGCCTGGAACTGGCCCCCCAGCGGAGGCCAGGCTGGGGCCATAGGTCGACCCAAGTTCTGGAGCCTCTCTCTGCACTGACTGGCTGAAGAGCTTGGGTGCCATTTTCAAATCAATTTTAAAATGTCACACCGGTTCTATTGCACCTAAAAGAAGGTCTGGGGGGTAGAATAAGAACGGGCGTGAGGAACGTCTTCAGGGTAAACAGCTGTTTGGTTGATTCTGTTCTCAAATCCAACGCTATTCCCCGTAAAACGGCACGGTCACCCAGCGTACGGGATTTCAGGAGGGTCCTCTGAACTCACCGCAAGAACTTCCCGTCTCATTTTTGTTGACTTTCTCACGGAAACATCGGTGCTCAGGGGTTGATTTCAAGAGGGTTTGTGTTCTGTTCACTGTGAAAAGGTGCCGCTGATGTCTCTTCAACACGGAGGGTCTTGAGAACGAGGGTGGGTCCCGCATTGGGGTCCACTCCCCGCCACAGGCTTGCTTCAGGTTGACCTTCGTTTCCACAGCGTGGGGACCGGCAGCCTTGTGTGTGTGTGTGTGTGTGTGTGTGTGTGCGGCGATGAAGACTCCCGCCCCTGCAGCTGTTCCTTCACCCGTCTCCACGGCATTTGAAATCAAGAATTCAATTTTGATCACAGTCCATTGGTCGGCTTCACATAACTCAGGTGCTAAGGAAAACTCAGTAATTCGTTGCAGAGAAAGCTCTGGGAAGCTGCAGCTTCCACGGGGTGAGGTGGTGCTGGCCTGCCCTCGGGGCAGAAGCCCGGTCCCTCGCCCGCCCCTCGCCTGGGGAGCCGCCCGCACTGGCGGGGCTGGAAGCCGGGAGTCGTGGGGCACGAGCTGAGCTCTCCGTCCGGTCTCCTCGGGCACGTTCCCCAAACGCCAGAGCATGAAACCCGCTGCCCCGAGGGGAGCGGCATCTTGCGCCCAGAAAGTGGCAATGTCTGCCAAGCAGCAGAGCCAAAGGCTGTCACACCGATCGGAGGGGACTGGAAGACACCCGGCAGCAACACACTGGGGGAAACAGCGAACCTGTAGATTAAAAGATGGAGCATTTCGAGAGGACCGCACTCACAAACAATGAGGCGGACACTCGGGCTGGAAAGACAGTGTCTGAAGTCAGGAATTGGTCCGGTGGCTCAGCAGCCATCGACGTGACAGAGGGCAAAGGAACCGGGAGACGCGGCACAGGCCGCTCTCCACGCCCCAGCTCATTTCCCAAAACAGGTGAGAGACGAGATCTGAAGGTGTGAGGAGCTGTAAAACCCAGCGCAGGATGGAAGCCAGAATAAAACACTAGTAACAGCAACAACAAATTGGCATCCGGGCACCTTATAGTCCAACTGTCTAAAACCAGCAGCAAAAGGGAGAGTCTTGGAAGCAGCCAGAGGAGAAGTCTCCTCTCCCCGAGGACAGACGCCCCACTTCCAGCAGAAGCCGTGGAAGCCCCAGGCGACAACCCAACAGGGAGGGGCCGCGACGAGGTCGCTGACCTAGGAGCCTACACCCAGCAGAAGTGTCCTTCAGAAATCAAGGTGGCGGGAAGACACCAGGAACAAACAAGCCCAAATGACAGAGTTCATGGCCACGGACCAGAAGCACAGACACACGGGAACTGGGGCACCAGGGAGCAGCATCTGTGTGACAAGCGGAAACAGTCCCCACGTTTGGAGCAGTGGCTCTGGTGGGTTGTCAGACAGATGGGACTGTGATACATGACGGTAACAGCCCAAAGGCGAGGCGGGGCAATGGGCCACCTGCTGCCTGCCTGGCCAGGTGTGCGGGGGACCCCGGCGCAGGGAGCTCCAGGGTGCGTGCCTGGTGGGGCCCCTGGCAGACCTGGCAGGCAGTCCCGCTGTCCTGTGCGGGGGACCCTGGAGCTCTGGTTGCTCAATGGCCTAGATGCTCTATTGTTTGAGGGCTGTCCCAGACTCTGGCGTGGTGGGAGCCCCGGGGCCCGGGGGTGTGAAGCTCACAGACACCAGCCAGTCATACTCTCAGCCGGCTCCCCTGTGGGAAGGGCCGAACCCCGGCCTTCCCCGCCCTCCTGGGTTATGACCGTGGCTTTTGTTCTCACGTCTACCTCCCTCTCGGCGCCCCCAGGGGTGGTTGTGACTGTGGCCTGGGTCTGCCACACATGACATTCACAAGGGGTCGGAGGGTGCAGTGGGGGGGAGGCCGGCTGGCCTAACTGGCTGTCCCTACTCCCGCGGTGTTTGTCTGGCAGCCGTCTCCAACTGGTCCAGCATCTTGGCCCTTGGTCTGTCCCCGGGTGCTGACACAGCTGAAGTCCCAGGAAGCTTCCTCCAGGTGCGAGAGGACAGGTGTCCGTCCCAGGGCCCCTCGAGCATGAAGCTTGAGGATCCAGGCTGCTGTTGGCCGTCCCAGAGACCTGGCGGCCTTTGGGGAGACGCCCTACGGGCTCAGGAGGGGGTGACTGTGTTGTGTGGGCACCGCAGTGCCCAGTGGGCTGACACCTGGGACCCCAAACCTCTAACTGCCACCATGAGACCACCTGAAGTTTGGACGAGGCACCCGGGGTGGGGCTGGGAAGCTGGCCCAGGGTGGCCCTCAGAGGCCCGTGGCATGGTCTCCTGAAGTGTGGAACGGCAGAACAGGCGAGGGCTGTCTCTGCTCTTGCTGCGCATTTGGGGTGGACCCGGCCTCTTGCTCGACCGTGTCCACCGGGCGCTTTGCTGGTGGGACCAGGCAGCGCCTTCCCTTTGGGTGTTCGATGGTTGCAGTGCGGAGCCACTGGCCTGCAGAGGTGGAGGGGCCGCTGGCCACAGGGCCCTGGTGGCGGGGGCCCTGGTTGCGAGGCTCCGGGTCGTCCTCGGCTCCCCCGACGTGTACACGGCGTTTCTGCCTCGACCGCGGGCGCACGGCCCCAGTGACTCACCCTGTGCTCTCTTCCAGTCAACGAGTTCACGGTCATCAGGAAGAAGTTCAAGTGCCCGTACTGCAGCTTCTCAGCCATGCACCAGTGCATCCTCAAGCGCCACATGCGCTCCCACACGGGCGAGCGGCCCTACCCCTGCGAGATCTGCGGGAAGAAGTTCACCAGGCGCGAGCACATGAAGCGCCACACACTGGTGAGTGAGGGGCGGAGGCCGGGCGGGGGGTCGGGGGTGGTCGTCGGGCGGTGGCAGGCAGGTGGGGAGGGGTGGTCTGGGGCCCCACAGGAAGCCCTGAAGTGGGGTCCGCTCACCCCACACCCCCCAGGCCTGGGTGCAGAGGTGGGGGCCACATCACACCCTCAGTTTCCCTTCTTCCCTTCGGGGCCCCCGGCTGCACCAGGCCTGGGCAGCACCTCCACCCCCGCTGGGACCCCCACCCTTGGCTCCCTGGGTCCTCACGTCCTCTGTGCCCTGCCCTGGAGTCACGTGGGGCCCCAGCCCACTCCCTGCACCCTTGCCACGTGTCCCTCCCGCCAAGCGGGCGCCCAGCCGCCCTCCGTCAGGCTGGGTGTTGGGTGGTGGGTTTGCTTGGCCAGGACGTGAAAAGCTCATCCTTGCAATGGAGGCAACTCCCTAAAAAAAAGCCAGGGCGAGGGACCTTTGGGTGGGGAGATGAGCTAGGCCCCGTGGCACCGGCTGGGGGGCTGGACGGGGGTGCACGCGGAATCCGAGCCCCCCTGGCACGTGCACTGGGCCCATTTGAGGGGAGGTGGTGGGCGGCCCTGGGCTTGAGTGGGGGTAGGTAGAAGGCATTGGGGTGATGTCGCCAGTTTGGGAACCTCGGGGTTTCCGGAACCGTCTGGGGTGCACAGGCTTGGCTGGACACCCGTAGCTGACCCACTGACCATCGGGAGCAGGTGCGCCAGGAGGCATGGAAGGGCAAAGCCAAGCAGGCCAGTCTGCAGGGACACATCGTGTGGGCGAGGGGCACCCAGGTGACACAAGGTGGCAGCTGGGGGGTGAGGCGAGACCTTCAGGCTGGGCCCCTGACAGGGTGACCGCTGGAGTGGGCAGGGCGTTGCCCTGGGTGTTGGTCCCTGCCGTGAGCCGAGCCACCGCCCGTGGGACTGGGCTCCTGTCGGACCTCCCAGCCCGCCCCACAGGCTGGGCAGCCTTGGCACTCATCCAGCCCCTGGGGGTACCTGTTTGGGGTTGGGACGCCTGGGGAAGACCCTTTGAGGTCAGATCCAAGAGCCGGAGGGGAGACATCCCGGGCGTGGGCGCCCCAGCCTGGCTGAGAGATGCCCCGTGAGCCCCAGCCAGTGAGTGCCCCAGAGTGGATGTGCGGGGGGTGGGCCGTGGCCTTCCCTGCCCCCCAGTTGGGTTCCAACTGGACCTGGAGAGGCAGGTTGGTGGTCCAGGAGCACGAGGCCCACGTGACGCCCTGACTGTGGAACTCCCCTCCTCCAGCGACATGTCCCTTCCAGCCAGTTTGTTAGGGGAGAGAGAAAGGGAGAGACCTCCCATCCAAACAGAGGTGTATCTCTTCTTTAAAAAATACTTTATTTCCTTTAGAGAGAGGGGAAGGGAAGGAGAAAGAGGAGAGAATTATCGATGTGTGGTTGCCTCTTGCACGCCCCCATCAGGAACCCAGGTGTTGCCCTAACTGGGAATCAAACCCGCAACCCTTTGGTTTAACAGGCCCAATCCGCTGAGCCACACCAGTCAGGCACAGGGGTGTGTCTTTTTGTTTGTTACACTAACAAGAGCTGGGAGGTTGTCACGTGGGTTGTTAGAACTCACGTTACATCTCCCCTCCCGCCTGCCCGCCCTGTCTGACAAATGAATTTCCGAAGAGTCCCTCGGAAACAGAAGCAGACTGCAGGCCGGACTCCGGCGGCACCTGCCGTGTTGTAGGGATGTCTGCCGAGTTGCGTGGGAGAGGCTGGGAAGGTCACTCCTCACGAAACCCTGGGTGTGGGAAAATCCAAAGTCATGATCTTGAGCGAATGGAAGGGCCTATAATTGGGTAGAAGGGAGAGTGAGCAGCAAGCTCAGAATGAGCCTGGTATTGATCCGAGGAAGCCGTCCACGGAGCCGTAAATGGGGGCTGATGGAGGACACGTGCGGCTGCAGGTGGCCCGACCTCGGGAGGGACGCCTGGGGCTGTGATGTGTCAGCCGCATTTTTCAGCTTGTTGCCTGGTCGCTGGGAAGACTCACAATCATTTCTTTTGGAAAAGAACTTTAAATTTTATTTGTCAATGACAGCTTATATTTGATAATATTTTTTGGTATTCATTTATTTTATAGTCATTTTAGGTGGACAGCATCGTGGTCAGACAATCGTACGCTTTACAAAGTGGGGCCCGGTATTTCCAGCCCCCACCTGGCACCTGACACAGCCAGTTGGCTGCGTCCTTCCTCCATCGAAACCGCAGTCACGGTTCGGTGAACTGTGGACGCTGGGGGAGGCTCGGGGCGCAGCTGCCTGCTCGCCTTGGAATTTTACCCTGGGCTCGTGCTTGGGCTTTAGGGAGGGTCAGAGACCCCGGACATCCCACCTGAAATGCGAGGGCTTCCTTTCCTCCGGGGAGGGGGTCTGTAAGTTCCTCTTTAATTTCTCCAGGGTCCCTGACCCTGAGGAGGCGGAGGGGTCCCCAAGTCCAGCCTGCAGCTCAGGGGCTGAGCCATGGTTGCCATGGCGCCTGCATCCACCCCTCCCCCTTCCTTCCTTCCTTGGTCCACATGGCTGGGCGGGGGCGGCCATCTGGTCCTGGCCCGAATGCCCTTGTGGCTCCGTGTCCTGGTGCAGCCCCCAGCTCCCCCACGGCCCTTGTCGCCTTCCCGTGCCGCCGCCCACTGCCCCGCCCAGCTGTGCCTACTCTGGAGTGTGGGCCTCGAGTTTTTGTTCTTTTGTTGGGGGAGGGTCAGGGGAGCCCTGGATTTAAAAATGTATCAAACAAACATCCCTGGCTGGTGTGGCTCAGTGGATCGAGTGCCGGCTTGAGAACCGAGGGGTCAGCGGTTTGATTCCCAGTCAGGGCACGTGCCCGAGTGGGGGGCCGGGTCTGCGGGTACAGTTGGGGGTGTGCGAGAGGCAGCCACACACTGATCTTTCTCTCCCTTCCCCTCTCTCTAAAAATAAACATATGAAATTTTTTTTTAAAAAGTATCAAACAAACAAAAAGACCCAGGAGGGTCCCAGGAACACATGGACCCCACTTCTGGGACGGGAGCCGGTGGGGCAGTCCCCGGCTCCCAGGGTCTCGCCTGGCTTTCCCTGGAAGGTGCGCTGGGCCCCGGACCTCACACCTGCTGAAGTTGGGGTGGGCAGCACACACCTGTGTGCAGGTCTCCATGGCTGGGGGCTCTGTGGGCAGGCGTGGGGGGAGGGGCTCGGGGCCTCCCGATGTGGGAGGTCACAGAGCGCCGGGGGCAGTGACCCGTCGGTACCAGCCGGGGCACCACGGGCTGCCCTGTCCCCACAGGTGCACAGCAAGGACAAGAAGTACGTTTGCAAGCTCTGCAGCCGCGTGTTCATGTCGGCCGCCAGCGTGGGCATCAAGCACGGCTCGCGGCGCCACGGCGTGTGTGCCGACTGCGCAGGCCGTGGCGTGGCCGGCCCCCTGGACGGCGGAGGGGCCGAGGGCTCCCCTGAGCTCTTCACAGGTGACGGGCCCTACCTGGAGGACCCCGACGACCCTCGAGGGGAGGGAGAGGAGGAGCTGGCGGAGGACGAGGACGATGTGGGCCTGGCCCAGGAGGACGCGCTGCTGGGGGACGACAAGGATGAGGAGGGCTCGCCGCAGGGGCCCCCCAGCCCCCCGGGGGGCCCCGACAAGGACTTCGCCTGGATCTCCTAGGCGCCTGGGCTGGGCGCGGTGGGTGAAGGCAGTGCCGCCCCCGCACCTGTGTGCGAGCGCGCTCAGGGGTCTCCCTCGCCCGGGTGGGGCCGTCTGACCCCGTGCACCCCCTCCTTCGGGCCCCCCTCCATTCTGCTCCCACCCCCCAGCCATACACCAAGAATCCGGCCCTGGGGTCTCAGAAGCGGGTGCAGCCCCTCCGCGGGGGCTCTGGGACCACGAAGTTGGTGGGTGCCCCGTTGGAGGAAAGTCCCAACAGGTGCGTTTGGGGGAACATGGTGCCGGAGCCAGGGCGTGGTCGGCCCGCTCGCCGGGCGGGGCCCGGAGGTCGCAGGTCTGGGAGCTGAGGATCTCTGTACTCCCTGCGGGGCCTCGGCCCCCTCCTCTCTGCAGCCCCTCCCCGGCAGCCCCGGTGGGTCGTCACTGCCTGTCGCCCGTTGCCTTCGAGGCTCCGCGCCCCTGGGGCCCCTGCAGAACCTGGTCCGGTGTACAGAGAACCCCGAGGCCCTGCCGCCTCTGGGCTTTGGTGCTCAACCTGAAACAGCTGTGGGAGCCCCTCCAGGGCCAGGGGCTCCCAGGTGCTAACTTCTAGTGGCCGCTGCAGCGGCTGGGCGCCCCGTGGGGCCTCCACCCTTTGTTCTGTGTGCACTTCCTCCGGGAGCCCCGGTCGGCCCCGCCCCGTGGCTCCGCCCACCTCCCCGCCCACCTGTGGCACCAGGCCACGCCTGCCGCCGCCCGGCCCCGAGGGCCTGCCCGCGTTGCTGCTAACTCTGGAGGCGGAGTTCTCGCCTCCCCTCCCGGATGGGTAACCAAACTCTTTAAGTCGAGATGAGTTGAGATCACACGCAGTTCCCTGGGTCGGCGTTCTCTCTCTCACCAGACAAACCACGCAGAGCCGCCCCTCCCTTTGCTTGTAGCCGGGTCCTCCCGCTGCATTTTCAAACGCGCCCACGACCTTGCCGCCTTTTCTGCGTGAAAAGCAGGTGCCGCCTGCAGGACAGGCCTCGCCTGTCCGCTTCCTTGTCCAGGCCGCCCGACAACGAGACACCACACCTCTTACTCACTGAGCTGGACGCGGCCCACCGCCCTCTGCCCTCCCCCCTAGAGGACTTGAGGGGGCCACGGAGCGCCCGTGTCTTTTTCTCCACAGACTCAGAGGCTGTCCCCATGTTTTGTTTTGTTTTTTTTATTGGGTCACATCTGGCCAGGTGGAACACCCCGCAAACCCCCGTGGGGAGTGGAGGGTGGGGGTGGGGACCCCGGCTGGCCTGAGCAGGCGGATGGGACCTGGTGCTGTCTTTGAAGTCCTGCCCTGGGGACGAGCCTCTGCTTTCGCTTTTACTTATTTTTCAAATAAAATTAGCCGCCGTTCCTATTGGTTAGAAGAGGGCACTCCTGAAGGAGCCGTGGGCTGGTCGCCTGCGCCCATCACCTCCCCCAGCTGTGGGCGCTGCCGGTTCCTCCACGCTGGCGTCCTTACCCGACAAGGCCCGGGTGGCCCCAAACCCGCCGAGCCCTCCACGCTGCCCGCTCTCCCTTGGGAGGGTGGGCCAGGCTGTTTTGGGGCTCTGGGCATACCTCCCCCCGTCACCCAGGAGGCCTGGCCAAGCCCCAACGAGGGCCCTCAGAACTTGTACCTCCCCCACTTTCTGAACAGACCTACTTTCTTATAAAACATGTTTGGAAATTAGACCTTTGCTGCCAACGGGTGGCTCTGGGTTTGGTACTGGCCCTGCGTCTCAGGCCCCCTGCCCACACCTGGGCCACCTGCCTCCACACTCAGGACGTCCTGCTCCTTCTGACCTGCTCGCCGCCCCTGCAGGACTTCGGGGCTTCGCTGTCCGTGCCGCAGGGCCGTTTGTTCCCTTGAAACCAACACTGTACTGGAAACCGGGGCCTGCTTCCCACCCCGCTGAGCTCCCGAGCACTAGCCGCCCCCGGGGGGTCCCTTGCTGTTTGCAGGTTGGAGACGCGCCTGTCCTCTCAGGAGGTGTGAAGGGGGAAGACGTGCGTCTCGAAGAGATTTTTTTATGTGACTGACCCTTTTCGTTTTTTCCAAATCAATGTTTAAACTAATAAATATTTTTTTTATGAAGAAGAACAGCCGTGTAGATTACATTTCACGTTTTGTGCTTTTCCGTTTGTGTCTGTCTGTGGTCTGGTGTTGGCCCCACCAACGCGGAGGACACGGCGGCCTGGGAGGAGAGTCTGGCAGGGGCGGGGCGGGGAGCTCAGGACTTTGGATGAAGCGCCAGACCCTGACCGGGCCTGTCCGGACGCCGGGTGTGGGGACAGTGACGACTGCGCCAGCACTCAGGAGGGACTCACCTCGAGACACAGCTGCTGCTCCCAACTTTGCACATCTTTATTAGAAAAACCAGAGAAAATGCAAAAACTGGAACTTTTTGCAATATGCTGAAAGACCACCTTATTTTCGCTCATTCTGTGACACGTGCAGCTCTTTAAAAGCCATACTTAATGGTTGTGTTTTGTTCTTTTCTACGTTTTTGCTCCTGTGCGGTGTTTTGTAACTGCTGGTAGGGAGGGTGCCGTGTGTGCTTTTCTGAAATATTTATTTTTTTCAACCTGTCAACAGAAACGAAACACAAAAAACGGGCAGTGTTTTGAGGTTTGCTGACGTTTTCCTGGGAATCATCTCTGTCGTGCTGACTTTATAGGGACTGTTGTTGTAAACCTGTGTATGGGGGCGCGTCCAGCGTGCGCGCGGTGGGTCAGAGCTTGGTGGTCCTCCCACTTCCCTGCAGCCGTGGACAGGGAAGCGGAGCCGCCTCTGGTGGCCTCGAGACGTGTTCTCGAGCTGGGCTCTGGGCTCCGGCCGGCCTGTGGGGCTCCTTTCTGTGACGGGGTAGCTTAGACCTTCTTGCAAAGCGACCACTTTCAATAAACTGGGAAGTTGCTGCTCGAGCAGGTGCCTCGTGTGTGTTTCAGACAGGGTCCCCTCCTCTGTCCTTGCACCGGGTGGAGGTGGCCAGGGGGACCCCAGCCCTCTGCAGCACATTGCCAGCAACCCCGCCCCGACTTTGCCTTCCCCACTCCGGAGGCAGACACAGCTTCTGGAAAACCCAAATCTTTAATTTTCCTCCTCGCCTGGCACAGCCCAGACGCAAGACACCTGAGCTTCAGAAACCAGGTCTGACGCCACCCCAGGCCCGCACCACCCCTCAGGTTAGGGGCGGTGGGGAGGCCCCTCCCGAGCCCTCAAAGTGCATCCCGGTCTGGCTCCCACGTGGCCTCGAGGCTGGACCGTCAACACCCTTTACAAGTCCATGGACAGGTGTGGGGAGGGGCGCACCCGCCCCAGGCTTTAGTGCAAAAGGCTGGTTTCTTCAGAGGCACTTTGCGTGCTGGGACCCTCCCCGACCTCTGGGGCTCCAGGGTCCCTGATGCCCCTGCCCCATTGAGAAGTAGACCGTGCGGCTTGGAGGGCCCCGGGCAGGGCTGTGGCGCAGCTCATTTCCTCCTCTGGGAGCTTGGGCGTCCCGGGCAGCCGGCGGTGTCCAGAAAGCGCTGGCAGGCCTTCTTCCAGCGGCAGGCAGTGCACCAGAGGTCCCGGCGCTGCACGCCGAACGCTTTCCGGCACTTCTTGGCGTCCCCTCGGGGCTTCCTGGGGGGACACGTGGGTGCTGTTGGGCCAGGACCCCCCCACACTTGCTACCTGCCTGCCCCTTGACACACACGCACCTCAGGCCGGCACCACTAGTGGAGGGTGGGGCTGGCTCTCGGGCCCCGGTGGGGCTGGGCTGCACCTGCAGCCGGGCGGGTGCCAGGCAGCCCTGAAAGGAGACACAGCTGTGGTCTCCCTCCAGAGCGCCCGAGGGGCCCACCCACGGCTGCTGCCTGTGACCGCACCCACCTGGTAGGAGTGGTCACTGCGGCACACCTGAGGGTGCGCCACGGAGCTCAGCACCTGGGGTGGGGGCAAGGCCAGGGGGCGCAGCAGGCTGGGCAGAGCTGGGGGCTCCCGCAGCTCCAGGTGTGGGAAGCCAGGCGGCAGGGAGGCTGTGGGGGACATGGAGGCCAGGCTGGAGAGCCCACCGGTCAGCACCTCCAGACCAATGTCCAGCTCCGTGTAGTAAAAGTCCTCCTCGCCATCACTCTGTTCTGGCTCTGCCTGCCGCCTGCTGGGGACAGGGTGGGTGGGAGCTGCGGCGTGGGCTCGGCCGGCCGCCCCGCCCCCCAGGCCGCGCACGCACCCCAGGTGGGCCAGGCGGATGTGTCTCTGCATCCCCGAGGCCGTGCTCAACACCTCGCCGCAGCGCTTCCACAGACACTGGAACAGGACCTGCACCGCGCCCTGGGTGCAAAGGGCCGGTGGTCATGCTCAGCCGCCGTGGCCAACCCACCCCGAGCCCAGCCCCGGGCTCACCTTCCTCTTCCGAGGGGCAGGCTCCCCGAACAGGAAGTGGGCCGCCTCCAGGGACAGCGGAGGCGACGGTGTGGGTGGGGAGGACAGCTCGCTGGCCGGGTCCCAGCCCCAGTCCCCACCGCTGCTGCTGTGACTGCCCAGTGGCTGCACTGGTGGCTCGGACCAGGGCTCCAAGCCGGGCTCTGCAAGGACATGCCAAGCCAGGGTCAGGATTTCCGGGGCTCAGGTTGCTCCACACGGGCTGCCAACTCTGAATCCCTTAACTCCACTCGCAGGTAAGCTGGGTGGGCACGAAGGTGCTTGGAGGAGATGGTGGCCAGGAAGAGCTGGCCACACAGTGTGAGGACCAACCTCCCTTGGACAGGGAAGGAGGAACCCTGTGTGGGGAGATGCCTGGCCAGCTGGCGGAACAGGCAGGTGGTCACGGAGGCCTGCAGGCTGGAGGCACTGGGGCTTTGGCCACACTGAGGACTTTGGGGGTCCTGATGTCCATGTGTTTAGAAGGTGGCTTTCCAGGTAAGGGGGCTCTGCCTGCCCCCACTTAAGGTCCTGGAAGAACAGTGGCCCTGCCCCCACCCCCATCCCAGGCCGGGCTTCTGAGTCTCACCCGAGTGGAAGCCTGCAGTTGGGGGCCCCAGCAACAGGGGGCTGGTGGACAGGCTTGTGAGGGCTGCAGCAGCCATGACCTCGTCCAGCTGGGCTTTTCCTTGGGGGGCTCTGGGAGAGAAGAGGGCAGGGGCAGGGGGTGGGCTGAGCAGGTGGGACCCAGCAAGTACTCCCAGACCCCTTCCCTGGATGGGCAGGCCTGGGCACGCGCTGTGCACACCAGGCTCCCTCACTCCAGGCACTGGGCTGGGCGGCAGGCCCAGCTCCACCCCAGGCTCGGGTTACAGAGTCTAGATCTCCAGGAACCACCAGGAACTGGGCCTGGGCTGGGGTCTCCCTGAAGCCGAGTCACCCACAGCCTGGGCTGTGTTCAGCAGAGTCTCCTTCAGACCCCGGTGCTGCACCCAGGGTCTGAGGCCCCACCCGCTGGGCCAGGGCACTGGAGGCCCAGCCCTCCCCCAATCACACATTAACCCAGGTTGAGCAACAGCAGCTGTGGGCCCAGGGCCAGGCCTGGGGGTGGGGTGGGGTGAGCAGAGAAGAGCAGCCAGCAGTGAGCAGCAGCCAGGGCAACAGCTCCAAGCACAAGTTGGTCCCCAGGTCCCAGCGGGCCAGACCGGTGCCTGCCCCTGGCTGCACAGCCAGCCCAGGGTGTCCAACACCCTTGAGGCATTTATGCTAGGCCTGGGGCCCCCTGGCAGTGGACCTCACGCAGGCCAGCAGCCTCTACTGAAGAGAAGGACAGCAGCTCCCTCCCAGCTGATCTCAGGCCCCAAGGCTTGAGGGGAACAAGGGATACTATCACACTGCTTAACTCTTTCAGGGCTGGAGAACGGGAGTGGCCAGAAACTCAGTTCGGGACCCTGACCTGCCCCAATCGAGCCCCGTGCGGGTGTCCGGAAGGCACGTTCCCGCGCCCCACCCACCACCCCTGCACACCAGGGCGCACGTGTGCACACGCCCACTTCGGCCTGGTGCGCGGCTCACCTGTGCGCTGGCAGGGGGATGTGCGCTGCCGGCGTCAGGGGCCCCGCTGCCGCCCCCGCCCACGTCCCCGGGGCCCGCGGCTCCGGCTCCTGCGGGGGTGAGAACTGCAAGCCCGCCAAGCCGCCGCCCACGGCAGGGCCCTGCGGACGGGGCGTGCTCAGCAGAGGCAGCGGCCCGGGGCCCCCAGCCCCCACCCAGATCCGCTCTGCACCCCCAAACCAGCTGTGATCGGCGCGCCCCGCCCCCGGCCCCGCCCCTGGCCCGGCGCGGCGGGAAGCGGCAGGGCCTCGCGGACCCGCGGACACAGACGGAACGCCGCCCCGCCCCCGGGGGCCCGAAGTTTGTGCAGCCCCGACGCCATCTTTGCGGCGAGCGCACTCTGGCGCAAGCCCCGGGTGCCCGGTACCTGCGGCGATGCGGGCACCGACACGGGCGCGGCCGCAGGTTCAGGGCCGGCAGCGCGGGGCGAGGGGGGCCCGCAGGCCCAGCCGGGTGCCCGGGGGCGCTCAGCCTCCATGGCTCGCCGGCCGGGCGCCAAGGCTGCAGCAGCGAAGGCGGACGCTCGGGTCGCGGCCCCGGGCCGGGCCGGGCTGGCCGGGCCGCCGACCCCCGCCCTAGATCGGCAGCCACCCGTGCCGCTCTGCCCCCGAAGCTACGGCCGGCCCGCCCCCTCCTTGTGTCCCCGCCCCCGGTGTGCGCCCATTGGTCTGCGTGCTGTATCAACATTCCGAGGTGGATCGTGGCTGGGGTTGGCCGCGTTTCCATTGGCCTGCGCTCCTTAGCCACGCCCACAAAGGCCCCGCCCCAGGCCCGTCGCTCCCGCGCTGGCCCGTAGAGGGGGCCCCTCTGGCGGCCCCCTCCCACCCGCGCCTTGGCCTCCGAGGAGCCCCGGCCCGCACGCCCTCGCTGCCTCGAAGGACCGATTTCCTCGTGGGGTTCCCGCGCGCAGGGCTGCTGGTCGGGGAAGGGGCCGCGTCCCCTGGGAGGGCTTCCCAGGTGCAGGTTATTCTTTAACGCACGACTACCGACCTCCCCCACCCCTTATGTAACTCCTGGGCTGGGCGGCCCGAGCCCTTCTCGGTGCTCGGTGTTGTGGTGTAAGTACGACCGTGGGGCGGCCACTCTGCCAGCAGGCCGCACCCCTCTAGACCCCACCGGGCCTAGGGACACCACCCCTAATCTGACCTCTGTCCCTACACTGTCTTTCGAGCCTAGTGACAGGGCCCAAGCACCCCCGAGCTAAGGGGATGTTTTCACTTCTTCCAGACAATCCCCCCAAACCTCCAGGCTTTCAGGAAGAGAAGGCTGTGCTGCACTGCATTCGTCCTCTCCGTGCTGGGGATTTATTAAAACACTGGTGGGAGAGGCTGGGGTGGCCAGGACCCCAGGGTCCTCTCAGGCTGCCAGCTGTGTGTGAGGACTGGGAGGGAATAGGGGCCGGGCCCCACACTGGGGGAGAGAACATCTGTGCTTGGATGCTGGGGGCGGGGTGGGTTATAGACTTCTGCGCGGGCTGAGGCCGGGGAGCAGGAGGCCTTCAGGTCCAATCTATGGGCTGGAGCTGGGGGCTGCCGGCCTGCGGGAGAGCCCCACCTCCTGGATGCTCTCATACACGTTTTCTAGCCTGCAGTCGTCTGCGTGGTCAGCGCTCAGGCCTCTGAGTGGGAGGACCTCATAGGACAGGCTCCTCCCCAGAGTCAGAATCTCTGCCCTTCCCTGGGGGTCCAGCTGGTCTGCAGCAGGTCCTGGGTCCCTCCTTTTAGGCTTGTTGACCCTGGAGTACAGGATGTCCACCTGGAGAGAGGAAAGAAACCCAGGGAGGGGTCAGCATCATCCTCTCTGCCAAGGACCTGCCCAGCCCTGCCACCCACCCCACGCTGCCCACTTTACCTGAGTGGCTGGGGTGCCCTGGACCCTCCCCTGCTCCAGGCCTTGGGGCGCCTGGTCTGCTCCCTTCAGTTTGTGGATGCACGCATACTCAGGCAGGTCTGGTCTGGCCTCAGGCCCAGGTCTGGCCCAGCTGCTGGTCAGCTGTGCCCCTGCCCACACCACAGGGCTGGCCGCCAAGCTGGCCCTGGGGATGGCAGCCAGGCCCACATTGGAATAGGTGGCCTCGGGGCCCAGGGAGGGCTGGGCATCGGTGGTCGCAGGCAAGGTCTGGGGCAGTTCCCGGTGTGAGAAGGCAGCTGGGGGCTTGATGGTGCCTCTGGACACTTCCAGACATTGTGGGCGCAGTAGATCCATGCTGACCGGCCGAAGGGCTGGGAGTGGGGTGGGGGCGGAGGTCATTTGGGGCTGCAGTGGGTCGGCTGGCCTGGTGCAGCAAGCCCTACACACAGCCCCCGTGCTCCCCCACTGGCTCACCTGCCCGGCGTGGGCCCCGGTGCACCTCATGCAGCCTGGTGTCCGACTTGCTGAGGGTGCTGAGGTGGGGCCGCGTCAGCATTGACTGGCGGCAAGGAAGGCAAGTCAGTCCCCTGCCAGCCCCACCCCGGCCCGGAGACAGCCTGGAACTCACCGTGTTGGTGGGTGCAACACTACCCTGCAGCCCAGCTGGCTGCCTCTGCACCCGCTTCCTGGGGGCAAGAGGGTGGATGTCAAGCCAAGGAGGAAGAGGACACCAGCCTCCGGTCAAGGGGGACCGGACTGGAGCCCCACCCCCTGTGGCCACAGTGCTGAGCTGGGCTCCACGTGGAACCCAGGCAAGGGATGGACATACCTGGGGCAGGCAGTGCACAGCACCCACAGCCAGAGGAGCAGGGCGAGGCACCCTGGGACCCAGAGGGCAGGAGGGACCGAGGATGCCAGCAGCCCCATCCTGTGTAACCCGGGACTGGCCTGGGGGCAGAAGGTGGGTGCTGGGGGCCTACTGAAGTCCAGGCATCCACCTGCAGCCCCACTCGGGGCCTCACAGTGCTGGGTGCCTCCCACCCCCGGGCGCTCTGACTCAGCACACAGGAAACCCTGAGACTCGGCAGCCCCTCCCTCCTACAGAGGCCGAGAGGACGTGGTCTCGGCGCCCAGCTTCCTTTCCTGCCTCTGGCTGGGGGCTCCTGGTCAGCTGTGAGGACGTGTGCTCTCCCAGGCCCTCAGGCATCGCCAGGTCAGCGAAGACAACCGATGTGACTGCAGAGCACGGCCAGCGAGGACCTGGCTGAGGCCTCACTGTGGCCACTATAGCCCAAACCGAGACCTGGGAGGCCCCAGAGGTCACAGCCCCGAGCCTGCAAGCCATGGGCCACAGACTCATGTTCAGCCACGTCCAGGTAAGACAGTGCCCAGGCAAGGCTTCTGTCTCAGGTGACAACCCCTCAGTCACTAGCTTGCCCCCCGAGGGGCTGGGAAGGCAGGGTCAGCAGGCGGAGAGGGGCTGCTTTGGGCACTGAAGGCCCTGCCTCTCCCAGGCTCTCCCCACCTCCCCCCGTCAGCCATGGTCCCATTGTGGGGTCTTGCTGCAAGCCACAGGGGTCCACCCTGGTCAGTGCAGACATTCAGTCCACTAGCACAGGACGGGGGTGTTCAGACCCAGGGGACGGACTTCCCACTCGAGCCCAGTGCTCTGACCTGGTCCTCCCAGGCCCCAGCCCTCAACTGCCCAGGGAGGGCACCCAGGGGCCAGGCTGGAGGCCAGAGCAGGCACTCACCGACGCCAGGGGTGCAGGGCATCTGGAGGCTGGGGGCCTTTGTGCGGCCCCAGGTGGAGCTCCCCTCACTTCCTGCCTGTGTCAGGCTGCGCCTCGATTTCCTATAGCAGCTGGCGCCAGCCGCCACCCACTGCGGTAGCCTCACTCTCCGCCCCGCCACCCGCTCTGGCCCCGCCCGGGGTCTAGATGACACTCAGTGGGGGGGGTGCTGTGAGCCCGGAGCAGCCTCTTGCAGCCTCCACCCAGGGGGCGGGTGCAGCATGGGCCCTGGGTGGTCTTGGGGCCACTGAGCACTGAAGGTGAGAGGTGAGGCCGGCCCCCCTGCCCCACTCACAGTGCCCTGCGAGGGCCCCACTGCTGTGCTCCACTGTCACAGGTGTCGGGCAACACAGGACCCATCTGGGAGGCCAGGGAGGACGACAGTGCCCCTGGGCCCTCTGCCCAACCACACAGCCACACCTGCAGACCCTGCCCCAGACAGCACAGCTGGCCGAGCCACCACTAGGAGACGCTGTAACAAGCCACTTTAATGTTCTCAATAAGCAGACGCAGACTGGTGGGCTCTGTGGGCACCTGCATGTCCAGGTGTGTCCCCCGTGCCTCGTGCACTCCACAGTCCCACACCCAGGCGGGCTGTGCATCTGGCCTGGCACCAGGCGGCCCCTCCTCTGGTGGCATCTGTTTGTGGGACCCCGTCCATGGCGCGTGGGGCTCTAGAACTCAGTCATCTTCTTGTGGGTGTCCGCCTTCCTCTGCTCCCGCTGCAGGCCCGCCTCCTGGGCCCGGAGCTGCCCCAGCTGCCGCTGGGCTCCTGCCAGCTTCTCCTGCAGCTGGGCCACCGTCACATTGTGCCTGGAGAGAGGCCACCACTCAGCGTGGGCTCCTGGGCCACTGCCAAGAAGCCCTCAGGCCACTGTGGCCAGTGCCAGCACCCTCCGACTGTCCAGAGCCATCTCAGACTCAGCTCTCCACCAAGTCGGGGCATCTCCTGCATGGGAATACCCTCTGCCCCAAGTTCAGCGCCCCCACATACCGGCCGGCATTGCGGGCAAGGGCCTCCTGGATGCTCCGGATGTCCCGCTGGGCCTGCTCAATCTTCTCCTCGGTCTGGAAGAGCCGCAGGCTCAGGGCCCGCTTGGCACTCTTGCTGGCGTGGTACAGCTCCTTGCTGCTGCTCCTCCCTGTGGGGGCTGCCCCCGCCTCCAGGGCCCCAGAAGCCTGTCCCTTCAGCTTCTCATTGAGAAAGTCAAACACGTCACGAGGGGGTGGGCGGCCCCCTGGCCCACCCCCTCTGCCGCGGCACTTTGGGGGCCTGCTGGGGCCAGCCTGGCTGCCCCGGGTGCTCCGCTGCAGGGTCCTCCGCTGCAGGATCTCCGCACACTGGTCCAGCGACTTCCCTCTCGGCAGCACCACAGCGTGGACAGGCTCCACCCGGCCGTCCGAGTGCCGGCCCAGACCTGGAGGCACAGGGGGCTACTGCTACCGCTGGACGCCACCCCCTGCTGTGCTGGGGCAGCCCCAGCCCCTCCCTAGGCAGCCCCCCCAGCTTACCCTTGCCGAACTCATAGCCCATCTTGGCGAGGAGCCTGGAGCCCATGCCCCGAGTGTGCACCTCCCAGCCCGCGAAGTTGGAGCTGCAGGTCCCGCAGGCGGCCGTGCTGGGTTCCACCACTGCGGGAGACAGGGCGGCGGCTCAGCTGGCTGCTCCGGCAGCACCCAGGGCTCTGGCCAGCAGCAGCTCACGGGTCATTCCTCTCTCCAGCCCCAAGGACATGGGGATTTGGAAAGCACTGCCTCATGGACCAGCCCCATGGGGACGCCACCCATCTTCATCCTTACTGCACAGGAGGGCTGGACACTGCCGGCCTGCCCCCTTCCTGAAGCTTCCCCGCTTGTGGCTGTCTGCAGAGCCCCCCTCCTGGCCTGCCAGGCACCAGGCCCTGAGCGGAAGCCCCGGTGGGAGCTGCCCCTCCGTGCTCTCCAGCCCCGCCCAGCCTCGGGGCTGCAGTGTGGGCAGGGGTTTGCACTCCCGGCGTCTGTGGGTCTGTGACCTGCCAGAACCTTCACAGACTCTGGTCCCCCGACCTCCTGTGGGGTCTCTAGGTCCGACCAGCACCCCCCGCTGTGTGCACACACTAGGCTGTGTTCCCCCACCCCTGACTCCTGAGAGATGGGCAAGGGTCCCCAGGAGCCAGGAGCCGCCCAGGCTGCCCTGGCACTGCCTGCCTCTGGCATAGCTGGAGTCGTCCGCATCGCTGCCGTCTGAGTCGGAGGACCCCACGGGCTCTGGGCGCAGGGGGGGCAGGATGCCGTCCCCCTCCAGCACAGCCTCCTTCAGCAGCAGTGAGTCAAACTTGACTGTGTAGAAGCCGCTGTCCACATCTGCAGGCAGGGCCAAGACAAGCCGGTCAGCGGCCTCGAAGTGGGTGGGACAGACACGGGAAGCTGGGGGCAGTCTCGCTCCTCCTGGGCAGGGGGTGGGGACTGGACGCCCAGACGAAGCAGTGGTTGCAGGACAGTGGGGGCTGTGGGGGCCCATGGGCAGCCTCACCAGTGATCCGTGCCGGGTACCAGAGGCCGTCCTGCTGTTTGGCCAGACAGGTGGAGCCAACCTGTAGGGAGCTCAGGTCCGGGTCCTGGAAGGGACGCAGCTCATCCACAGAGACCACCTGCCCGTGGGAGAATCTGCAGAGGGGCCAGGGTGGGGCTCAGATGCGGCCCCCCCCACATCCACACAGCACACACACACACACACACACGTGCACACGCTCCCGCCTGCTCTTGGGAGGGCCGCGGCCACTCCGTAGGTGAGCTGTCTCCTGTGGCACCCAGCTCTCTGGGTTGGAGTGATGGACTGGCTTGCCCAGGGTGAGAGTCCCGTGGCCTCCGCCACATACGAAGGCCTGGACAGTGACAGTCGGCCATCGCGGGTGTGTCTGTGCACTTACGGGGCCCAGTCCTGCCCGCAGCACCGAGCACTACTCAGTTCTAACAGCAGCGCCCTGATTTTAGAGACCAGTGAACCCGTGAAACTGAAACCAGAGCACAGAGGGGAGGAGGAGACGCAGGCGGCAGCCTTGCCTTCACCAAATAAAGACACACGAGAGCCGCGCACCGCCCACCCCGTCGGTGCTGCCACTTGGAGGGAAAGAGGCTTTCACCCGAGACAGCAACCAGGAGGGGCACCCACCCCACCCTGGAGCTGGTGCCCAGCACGGCCGTCTTCCAAGCGGGAACCGGTGGTGACCAAGAGGGAGAGGGGACAGGAAGTGTTCTGCTGGCCCCACTGGTGGAACAAAGGTGGCGTCTGGGCAGTTCCTCTCACACCCCCTGCCCTCCGGGCCCAGGGGACGGCCCTGCCCCCAGCAGCTGCGAGTAGGTGAGAGGAACTCACCCCACGAGGACAGCGGTGAGAACTGTGGTTGAATGGCCCATTCAACAGGGGGGCAAAACCACTTGACCCAAAGGCACAGGCCTGGGAGAGTGGGACACCCCCCCCCGCCTCTGAAACTCCGCCCCCAGGACACCAGCAAGAAGCCTCCTGCGGCAGAGACCCCTGGCGATGCCAGACCCCCCCAACTCGGTACACTCCTCACACTGGGCAGGCGCTTCAAGAAATGAGAATAGTCACAATGAAAGTGTGCAAGGATTTGGCCTCAGCGCCGCTGACCAAACACTGAAGGCTTGAAGGAAACCTACACTCACAACTGTGGGCAGCAGTTAATGGCAAACCCACACAACAAACTTAGAACAAAGAGAGCGAGGGACTGGGCGGGGGTGGGGAAGAGCCGCTCGGAGAGCCCCGGCCACAAAACACTCCCGGTGGGAAGGAGGGTGGATGTGCACTCCCTAAGGATGAGACTTGAAACTGCTTTTTCCCATTAAAAAACCCAACTCAGTCGCCTGCCTCATGACATCCACAGACACGCACGCCTCGGTGAGTGAGGAGACGGACTGCAGGACAGGTGTTCAGAGCCGCAAAGGGGACCCCCAGCTCCGCCACAGCGAGCACTGAGCTGTGGAACCCTCACCACAGAAAAACCAAGCTCGCCCTGGCTGGTGTGGCTCAGTGGTTGAGTGCTGGTTCGATTCCCAGTCAGGGCACAGGCCTGGGTTGTAGGCCAGGTCCCCAGTAGGGGGCACGCAAGAGGCAACCACACATTGATGTTTCTTTCCTTCTTTCTTCCTCCTTTACCCTCTCTAAAATAAATAAATAAAATCTTTAAAAAGAAAAGAAAAACAAGGCTAAAAAGTGGGCAAGAGGGTCAAAACGCGCAGCTGCAGAGCTCAGGAGGTCAGTGGACGTGGGCTCTACCCCCCGAGGTGCTCGGGACAGAACAGGGTGGGCAGAAGAGGGTGAGGGGTGGTCTGTAGCTGTCCCCAGCTGGGGCTGCCCCCGGCCCGGGCCCCCATATAGAGCAGCAACAGCAAAAGGTGGGAGCGGGGAAGAGGGTGAAAATGGGGACCTTGTGGCTGAACATGGTGAAGTGACCAGAGTTAATGAAGGCAGCTCACAGCTGTGATAGCAGGGGGTGTCGTGAGCCCAGCTGGAGTGGACACGGGGATGCTGAGTAGGGAGACCTGGAGGCGGGAAGGGCCACACGGGACCACGCCCACACACCCTCGGCCTTCCAGGGGCCTGCGCACACTCATCAAAAGCCCCCAGGGACAATGTGAAAGCAGAGAGCTGGGATGAGACCCCTGGTGCACACGGACCGATCCTAAGGAGCCAGTCCGAGGAATAAAATTAAATTTGAAGTCCTAACTAGAGCCATCAGAGGCCTGGGAGCAGACCTCGTCATTTAGGTCCAGAAGCGCACTGAAACACGACACTCGGGAAGACAACTGGGAATCCAGAGTGGCTTCGACGTGTCATCTGGAGCGGATACGCCCACACACAGAATGGTGCCACCTGTGTTCAGGGCCAGAGCAGCCGAGAGAACCGTGCTGAGCCAGGGCGGAGACTCTAATGAAGACGTCAATGTCGCAGGGGACTAAGGGGAAGTGTGACGGTCACGATCCCCGGGGGCGCCTAGGAGAAAAGTGAGGACCGTGGAGACGGGATCAAAGGCATGTCCCAGAGCAGCAGAGTCAGCAACTGGGATGAGATGCTCACTGGATGGGACACTTCTGGTTCCCAGTGTGGCAGGAAAGCAGCTTGGACGTCACCCCTCTGTCCTCGCAGAGAGGAGAAAGAGGGACAGAGGGGAAAGCTGACGACTCTTCTCAGGTGCCCACGAGAAGGGAGCTCAGGGCCGACTGCCGCCCCCACCTGCAGGACCCGCTGGGCAAGCACAGAGGGGCACGTGTGACCAGGGCGGAGCCCACCTGCTGCAGCCTCAGTCGGACCCAGGGCCGCTGCTGGGCTGGCAGGACGACTCCGGAGGTGAAAACCTGCAGGGGCCTGCCCT